CCTGGGCAACATAGTAAGACCTTATGCCTAAAAGAAAGATAAAAATAAAAGCTAGTGTAGCACTAGAACTTATGTAATTGCTTCCTTTAGTTTAATGTGTCATTGTTCTCTAGCAACACTGTGTTGGTTTCACGATTCACTGCAACAAGGGAGAGCACACAGCATGGGAGATCATGACATATCTCTGTATTGGGATGTTATTAGGAGTTACAGGATTTGCGTTGTGTTAGGTGATTTTAGGGGGAAAGTTTAAGAAGCCATTGCTTTTCTATGAATTGGATGCTGTCAAAATGAGGCAGTAATTACATGATTGGACATCCTAATAAATTTTATCTAGACAAAAAGAATACAGTGATGGGCTTGGTGTAGTGGCTCGTGCCTGTAACCCCAGCACTTTGGAAGGCCAAGGCAGGTGGATTGCTTGAGCCCAGGAGTACAATACCAGCCTGGGCACCAGGGAGAAACTCCCATCTCTATCAAAAAAGAAAAAAAGAAAAAAAAAATTAGCTGAGCATGGTGACACGTGCCAGTGGTCCCAGCTACTCAGGAGACTGAGGTGGGAGGATCACTGGAGCCAGTGAAGTTGAGGCTACAGTAAGCCATGATCGTGCCACTGCACTCCAGCCTGGGTGACAGCAAAAAAACCAAAATTACAGTGATTGTAGAACTATAATTGATTTTAAAAAGCAGCAATCAAATTAACTGGAAAAGGGAGGTGCTTGATTTGCGCACTCACGTTGTTTTGTCTGTGCTTAGACAAGATTATGAAATGATCTTGTCCTGTCTTTTTTCTTCACAGTCACAGAAAGAACTTGTGTGATGCTGGTGTTCCGTCAGGTTGCTTATGCTCAACAGGAGAATATCGAGGGATGATGATGAATGTCAGGTCAGCTTGTGACAACACTGAGGCTTAGTTACCTGTGCCAGACCAGTTCCCAGGCACCCTAGATTTATTTTCTGAGTCCTCCATTTGGTCAAGGGCAGACAAAGTCAGGCCACAGGACCATTAATCTACAATATTCAGATTTTCACTGTTGCTAAATTTATGCTGATCTGGAGAATGTAGTCTGTAGTTGGGTTAATTCTGCCTCCTGTTGTAGGATTTGTTGAATCATACAATATGACAATGGCTGTGGAGAAACTAGGGCTCTGGACAGGATACATCGACCTAGTGCGAAAGAACCAGTTACCAGAAACAAAATGATTATTCATCTTTGTAAAAAGTCTTCAAGCTAGGGGCCCAGATTTTAAAATCCTGGCAACGAAAACATGCCCCAGAATCTAGCTGAGTCTGTTTTTAGGGAGCCAGGAGGCTTTTCTCTTTTCAGTTTATAAGAAGAAATCAAGGGTTCTATGATTATCCATGAAAACTCTGGCTAAGGAATTCAAATTTAAGTGGTTTGTTGAGCTTCTATAGCAGAAGTTGTGCCATCGATGAAGACTGCTAAGGCCAGAGACCTCGTTTTTGATGTATTACCTTTGTTGTGGGAATTTCACTTGCAGAGTACACATGATAAGTGAGTCAGTGATCCCTCCTGCGAGTTCTCCCAAGTAGTCTGTGATTCTGTGCTTGCTTCATTTTGTTGGTTTCTGGGTGTTCTTCTCAGAGAAACACAGTCTACTGGAGGGGTGGTAATTTTAAACACTGGAGAGTCTCTAACAATTAGCTTCAATACAAAGGATAAGTTGGTGTACAAGCCAGATGCTCCCATAAAGAAGTAATACCCTAGGGAAGTACAGACTGCATTGGGAGGATAAGGGCTATTTAGCCTATCAGGAACAAGCCAACTTTCTAAGATAGGCAGCTTTCTTGGATGAAGTTAAACAGGTTTCTCCAAAGCAGGCTGGAATGTTTTGGAAGAGAATGGCCTGAGTAGTGAATCAAGAATAGCCCCAATATTAGTTTCTATTCCTGAAGGGCTAGGTTTTTCTCATAGGACTGTAATGACTTCAGGGAAAATTCTGTTGAAGTGTAGGTAAAGGTCCAATTTTTTATAAGACTGAAGTTTGGGATTAATTTTGTGAGGAATGCTTACGTACCAGAAGTGACCTACAGAAGAAAATCTACTTTATGAAGTCTATGAAAGCACAACGATTGAATTTTGTCAACAATTCCTTAAGAGCAGTAGCTATGGTTTCAGAAAAACACTTAAGAGAGTATTTCTTTTCTTTTTTAAGAGACTGGGTTTTGCTTGTTGCCCACTGGCATGATCACAGCTCCCTGCAGTCTTGGGATCCTGGGCTCCAAGGATCCTCTTGCCTCAGCTTCCTGAGTAGCTGGGACTCCAGGTACATGCCACCATGCCCAGCTAATTTTTTATTGTTTGTAGAGATGGGCGTCTTGCTACATTGCAGGTTAGACTCCTGGTCTCAAGTGATCTTCCCACCTTGGCTTTCTAAAGTGCCGGAATTACAAGTATGGCCCACTGCACCTGGTCAAATATTGTTTGTTTATTTATTTATTTTGAGACAGAGTCTCACTCTGTCACCAGGTGCCAGGCTGGACTGCAGTGGCACAATCTTGGCTCACTGCAACCTCTGCCTTCTGGATTCAAGCAATTCTCCTGCCTCAGCCTCCCGAGTAGCTGTGACTACAGGCGCACACCACCATGCCCAGCTAATTTTTGTATTTTTCAGTAGAGATGGGGTTTCACCATATTGGCCAGAATGGTCTTGATCTCTTGACCTCATGATCTGTCTGCCTTGTCCTCCCAAAGTGCTGGGATTACAGGCTTGAGCCACCATGCCCAGCCAAATATTACTTATTTTAAGAAGCAGAACATAGAGAGTCAAAAGTAACAGGATGAAGATAAGGGTTGTCTTCTTGAGAAATCAATTTGTTCGTTAATCACGGGTGTCAAAATGCAATAATAAGATTAGTAGTAGGATAAAAGATGCGGAGGAATCAGAAAATTAACCTTGTCCTGTTGTCTTGGGTATGAACTGCCATTTCTGCAGTCAGCAGCTTCTGGGGAAGTCTCAAGAATCTTAAGTTTGAGGTCTTCCAATAGAATGGGATGTCCAGTAGCCAGGAGAAAATGATGCATGTCTTTTTAGTTGTATCATATGAATCCAAGGATCAATGTCTTATAGTTTTACTGCTGGGTCAGTTGTTGACAGTACCTGATAATTTATTTTTTATTTTTATTATTATTATTTTTTTGCATTGAGGCTCAAGGAAAATTGTTTTCTAATGCTTTTTCAGAAGACCAAATCTCCAGATTTCAGAGGCTGCTTAGGTGGGTGCTTTGAGAATGCAGCTTCTATCTGTTGATAAGGCAGGAGTTCTCTTATGAGTCCCCTGCAGCAATTAGTGACAGAAGCTTATACTAGTAACATCTAGGATTGGAAGTAATTCACAAATACATGAGGAAGCCTGTTATTAACTCAGAAGGCGATAACTTATGGGTCTTAGAATGGATTGATCTTATTGCCATCAAGGCAAAAGGAAGTACTTTGGGCTTTGGACGTTAGAGAAGCTCTGAAAACTATTTTTAGGATTCTATTAGTTCTCTTTATCTTTCCTGAAATTTGTGGATACAAAAAGATAGCGGAGTTTCTAAAAAGGTAAAGCTTTACAGAGTTATTTAATAACAGTATCAGTGAAATGTGTGTCCTCTTACTGAAGATACACATTGAGATTTCCCATTCAGGAATACAAAATTAAGGATTTTTTTTTTCTACCACTACAGTAACAGCTCTCCAGCAAGGAAAATCCTTAAACCCCTTAAGAATAAATAATAACCCTCATGTAATCATAGTCCATTTAGAGGTGTTCAACAGAACTCCAAGACTGGGCTCCAGTTCATATTCTACCTTTATAGTTTTGCCAGGATTGGGTCATTGAAATAGGTAAGACATATATCCCTGGCAATACCCCTAAAATTGCCCCACTAACATTGGTTCAGCATCATTATCAATGTGTTTCCACTATTGTGCATAAGACCTTTTGCTGGACTCCACTTTAATTATGACTATTTCCTTAGGTAACAGTGAAGCATCTCAAGATTATTTTCATTATTTATTATTTTTAAAATTTTAATTAAAAAAAATTTCCACAGGTTATTGGGGCATAGGTGGTGTCTGGTTACATGGCATCTCAAGAGTCCCTAATATGACATTCATTCTGTCGCAGTTCCTGAAGCGGTCAGGAAATCTTTGTTTTTAAAGCACTCCAAAGTCACTGACAAACCACCAAAACATATGTACTGTCAGTATAACTATTTTCTCTGTTATCCTTTATCAGCTGGTAGGTCTAGGCCAGGGCAATTCCTACACTAACAGAGTACCTGGGATGGCATACTGAGTTAGCCAGTTACTAGGTAAGAAACTTTGGGCAAAAAATTTTTTTGAGCCTCAGTTTTCTTTAGACATGAAATAGTAATACTTGTCTCAGAACCGTGAGCATCTAATGATTTATTGTACAATAACCAACCTATCACTAAGTCTTTCACATTGATTATTTCCTTTAATTATCACAATCATCCCATGCGATGGCCTATTATCCTCGTTTTATAGACATACAGTTACACCCCTTTAAGTTGTGATGCGAGGATTCAAACTCCGATCTTTCTGATGCCGGATTCAGTGCCCCTTTCTGAATCCCTCTAACAACCCGTGACACTTTTGTACCGTTAGGTTCAAGTCCCCACCATACAGCCTGACCTGTTAGGAGGCACTCAACCTTTAAAACTTTGTAATTTGCAAGTGTGATTATAACGGGTTAGTTCTAGAGTTTGATCTCTTCTTCGTGCAGGGGTGAAACCCCACCCCAGCCGAGAACTAGACTCTACTCCCCTGGGGCTGTCTGCGCCCCCCCGGGAGGCGCCCAGTCCCCAGTTTATTGTGAGCTTACAGTGCTGTGCGCCAGATGCCGGCCGGTGACGGCGGCGAAGCGGCGGAGTCGTCCGTCGCAAACCCCCTCCCTGGGGCCTTCCCGCCGGGCTCCGCGCGGCGTCCCTAGCAACGCACGCGCGGTCTCCCAGCCCCGCCCCGGCGGGCGGCACTGCGCCTAAGCTCTGCCACAACCGCCAGTCAGGTCTCTCCCCTTCCCCTCCCTCCCCCCTCCCCTCTCCTCCTCCTCCGTCTCTGCCGCCCAGAGCGAGACACCAACATGGAGCCCGAGGACCTGCCATGGCCGGGCGAGCTGGAGGAGGAGGAGGAGGAGGAGGCTGCGGTGGCGGCGGCGACGGGAGAGGAGGAGGCGGCGAACTTGGACGAAGTCGTGGTGGTGGAGGTGGTGGAGGAAGAGGCGGGGCGGGACTTGAACTCCGACTCTCACTGCGAGCACCGGCATGTAGAGAGCACCGACGACGAGGAGGACGAGGAGGCCAAGGCCTGGCTGCAGGCGCACCCTGGCAATATTTTGCCTCCGACGTCGCCTTCGCGGCACTGCTACTCGGAGGGCAAGCGGACCTCCCTGGAGAAGGTGAGGCGGACCCGGGAGGGGTGTGCAGCCGCGGCGGGTGAGGGTGGAGGCTAGGCCCCTAGCGCTCCGCCCGCCCGCGGGTCGCGCCGCCTGACGGAGAAAACGCGCGCGGCTGAGGCTCGTCGGCGGCCCCAACTGCAGCCCAGGTGCAGGCCGGCTGCTCCGAGTCTCCCAAGCCACAAGCAAAGACTTCTCGTTTCCTCTCCCTCGGTGGGTCCTGGGCCTTTTGAACTCCGACAGACGTTCAGGGGAACCTGCATTCCCCGTGAGTGTGGGTGAGAAACGCTGAGACGGGAGCAGGGGTGTAGGACCGGAGCGAGTGGTGGCCTGTTGGAGAGACAGTGGACGCATTAGCTTGGCTGAATTGCAGGACTCCCCTGAGGGAGTCGCGTGGATAACGTACACTGCGCGGTCACTGAGTCTGGAGAGACTCCCCGCAGGTTTTCCTCTTTCGGACCATCATTTGTAGCAATAAAGGGGTTCCGCAGGGCTTGGAATGCAAGAAGCTTGTGATGCGTCTTCGAACAGTCCGGAAAACTAGAAAACACAAATAATACACAATGGAGAAAGCCGATTTCATGGTGGGCCCACGAAGATCGTTTTGAAAATAACTCTCCATTTAATTTACTGCCCTTACCCCGTTTTTGAATTTACTACTTTTCGAGGAACAAGACTTGCCCTGTTCAGTACAGTAGAGAGTGGCTACATGTGGCTCTTTACATCTTAAAGAGAGGGCTATTACAGTTTTGAATACGAATTAAAAATAAAATGAAAAATTCTGTGCCTCTCTTCTTACCACTTTTCAGGTGCTGGGCAAGCCACACTAGGCTAGGAGCTACCATGTTGGACAGCGCAGATAATAGAACAGTTCCATTATCACAGACAGTGATGGTGTAGACTTTTGTTACTAGTTGTTGTTTTGCCTGGTGAATATTCCAGGGGTACTTAATTCATTGAACATGTATTTTAGAATTCACCATGTGCCACACATTGTGCTGGATGCTAAGGAAACCTTGGTGAACTCAGGCGTTTTTAGTCTCTGCCTTCCTTGTGTTCATGGTCTAGACAGGGAGGCAGACAGGTTTCAGATGATCACATAAATAAAAGTAAAACTGAAAACGTGCTAATACTCTATGAAAGCATAAAGTAAGATAATCTGGCCTTGTCAGTGAAGCTGGGAAAGCTTTCTCGAGGTGGTTATGGTAAAGCTGTTATCTGAAGACAGTTTAAGGTTAATCAGGCGAAGGGGAAGGAAAGCCTTCTAGTTGAGGGAAAAACACATGAAAAGGTACTGTTGGTGAGAGAGAACATGGCATTTTCCAGGAACCAAAAGCCGTGTGGGTGGAGCACAGACTGCAAGGCTTTGTGTGCTATGCCAAGGATTTAGGGTCTTTATCCTTGGAGCCTTGGGAAGTCGATGAAAATACTTGAAACAAGGGGGTGTATGATAAGATAGGTGTTTAAGAAAGATCAGCTGTATAACAGAGTGTAGCAACAGCTGTGATAGCAAGGTGGGTTGGGGAGCAGTAATCATAGGTCAAGGGCATAAATTAGGATACCCTTGCAGCATTGCCAGGCAAAAGATGATGAAATTTTGGAATAGGGAAGTAATGGTGGATACAGGGAAAAGTCGACTGATTTGAGAGAGATTTAAGAGGCAAAATCATCATACTTAATGGATGGGATGTGAAAGGTGAAGTAGCCAGGTATTAGGTTATTGTTTGAATGGTTGTGCTAATACTAAGTTATGGCCAGGTTTATGGTGAGGGTGGTGGCCGTGAGTGGTGGAATTGGTTGGGTGGATGTTAAGAGTATGGGTTTGGTTTTGAAGATTGAAGGAGAAGGCTGGGCTGGAGATTTCAAGTTGTAAATCATCTACATACAGACCATAATTAAAGCCACACTTGCTGACTAGGTCTCCTAACTTTTATTTTGTCCTGCGGCTTCTTGCTTGAATAACTAATAATATTCAAATCTTAAGGCCTAGAGGAGGAGTTAAAAAAAAATTTTTTTTTTAGCTTTAATTTTAGATTCAGGGGTTACATATGCAGGTAATTAACATGGATGTATTGCATAACAGTGAGGTTTGGGCTTTTAGTGACCCTCTCACCCAAATAGTGAACATTGTACCCGATAGGTAATTTTTCACCCCTCCTCTCCTCCTCCTGGAGTGCCCAGTACCTATTTCCGTCTTTATGTCTGTATGTACTCATTGTACCCATTCTGTATCTCTGTATACCCATTGTACCCACTTGTCTTATCAGTGAGAACACGTGGTATTTGATTTTCTGTTTCTGAATTATTTCATTTGATACCCTCCAGGCTCCATCCATGTTGCTGCAAAGGACAGGATTTCATTCTGTTTATGGCTGCATCATATTTCATGATGTGTGTGAATACATACCACATTTTCTTTACCTATTCAGTTGTTGATGACACTTAGGTTGATTTCATGAGTTTGCTATTATGAACAGTGCTGTGATAAACATACTTGCACAGAAGTTTTTTTTTTTTTTTTTTTGGTTTGGTTTTTAGAGATGGGGTCTAGCTGGTCTTAAACACCTCGGCTCAAGTGATCTTCCTGCCTTGGCTTCCCAAGGTCCTGAGCTCGGGTATCTTTTTGATGAAATGATTTATTTTCCTTTGGATAGATACCCAGTAGTGGGATTGCTGCATCAAATGATAGTTCTGTTTTGAGTTCTTCAAGAAATCTCCATACTGCTTTCCATAGGAGTTGAACAACTTGCATTCCCAACAACAGTGTATATATGTTCCCTTTTCTTCTTATCCTTCCCAACTTCTATTTTTTGACTTATTAATAATAGCCATCCTGACTGGTGTGAAATGGTGTCTCATTGTGATTTTAATTTGCAATTCTCTTATGATTAGTGGTGTTGAGCATTTTTTCATGTTTTCTTGGCCGCTTATATATCTTCTTTTGAGAAGTGTCGGTTCACATATTTGCCTGCTTTTTAGTGGGGTTGTTTTTTTCCTGTTGTTTGAGTTCCTTATAGATGCTGGATGTTAGACCTTTGTAAGATGCATAGTTTGCAAATATTTTCTCCCATCCTGTAGGTTATCTGTTTACTCTGTTGACAGTTTATTTTGCTGTGCAGAAGCCCTTTAGCTTAATTAAGTTCCATTTGTCCGTTTTTATTTTTATTTTTATTTATTTAAAAAAAAAGAAAAAAAGAATAATAAAAAAAGAATGAAGGAGAGGAAGAAAGAGGAAGAGGAAGGGGGATAGAGAACGGGGGTGTTGCTTTATTGCCCAGGCTAGAATGCAGTCTAAAAATGGGTATGCCTATAATTGTGCCTAATAATAGAGACATGAAAAAAAATGAGGGAAGAAAATAACAAACAAGCAGCCATATTTTATTTAAACCTGTAAATAGGTGTCATGTGGTACTGATAAGAGTGTATATTTTGTGTATTTAAAGTGGAGAGTTCTATAAATGTTAATTAAGTTTACTTGTTCCAGATCTGAGTTCAAATCCTGGATATCGTTGTTAATTTTCTGTCTTATTGATCTGTCTAATATTGATGTTGAAGTCTCCCACTATTATTGTGTGGGGGTCTAAGTCTCTTTATAAGTCCTATATATCTGGGTATTCCTGTATTGGGTGCATATATATTTAGGATCTTTAGCTCTTCTTGTTGCATTGATCCTTTTATCATTATGTAATATCCTTCTTTGCTGCTTTTTTTTTTTTTTGAGACGGAGTTTCACTCTTGTTACCCAGGCTGGAGTGCAATGGCGCGATCTCGGCTCACCGCAACCTCCGCCTCCTGGGATCAGGCAATTCTCCTGCCTCAGCCTCCTGAGTAGCTGGGATTACAGGCACGTGCCACCATGCCCAGCTAATTTTTTGTATTTTTTAGTAGAGACGGCGTTTCACCATGTTGACCCGGATGGTCTCGATCTCTGGACCTCGTGATCCACCCGCCTCGGCCTCCCAAAGTGCTGGGATTACAGGCTTGAGCCACCGCGCCTGGCCGTGCTTCTTTTGATCCTTGTTGCTTTAAAGTCTGTTTTATCAGAGGCAAAAATTGCAACTCCTGCTTTTTATTTATTTATTTATTTATTTATTTTTGCTCTCCATTTGGTTGGTAAATCTTTCTCCTTTCCTTTGTTTTGAGTCTTTGTATATCCTTGCATGTGAGATGGGTCTGGATGCAGCATACCGATGGGTTTTGACTTTTGTTGCCTGTCTGTGTCTTTGGATTGGGGGATTTAGTTGATTTAAATTTAGAATTATGTGAGTTTAATACTGCCATTTAATGTTAGCTGGCTGTTTTGCCCATTAGTTGATGTAAATTCTTAATTATGTTGATGCTCTTTACTTTTTGGTATTTTTTGGAAAGGCTAATACTGGTTGTTCCTTTTTTTTTTTTTAATTTTTTTAATTGCATTTTAGGTTTTGGGGTACATGTGAAGAACATGCAAGATTGTTGCATAGGTACACATATGGCAGTGTGATTAGCTGCCTTACTCCCCCTCAACTATATCTGTCATTTCTCCCCATGCTACCTCTCCCCACCTCCCCGCCCTCACATCCCTCCCCCATTTCCCCCCAACGGATCCCAATGTGTAGTGCTCCCCTCCCCGTGTCCATGTGTTCTCATTGTTCAACACCCACCTATAAGTGAGAACATGCAGTGTTTGATTTTCTGCTCTTGTGTCAGTTTGCTGAGAATGATGGTTTCCAGGTTCATCCATGTCCCTACAAAGGACACAAGCTCATCGTTTTTGATGGCTGCGTAATATTCCATGGTGTATATGTACCACATTTTCCCTGTCCAGTCTATCATCGATGGGCATTTGGGTTGGTTCCAGCTCTTTGCTATTGTAAACAGTGCTGCAGTGAACATTCATGTGCATGTGTCCTTATAGTAGAACAATTTATAATCCTTTGGATATATACCCAGTAATGGGATTGCTGGGTCAAATGGAATTTCTATTTTTAGGTCCTTGAGGAATCACCACACTGTCTTCCACA